TTTAATCCAATTAACTGACTACTATCAATGAGAATCGCACTACAAGAGTACGTTCCTGCCTAGGTTGAATCCCTGATTGAAGAGAAAAATGCGTAAATTGCATCTACATTTTCAAAATCAGGTTTTTACCAAATGGTTTCAAGGCCGTTTTTACTATTCTAAAGAAGTACTTCTATAAAAATTCCCGATTGTCATTTTAAAGTAAATTAAATCGCACCCTCTTTTGCAAAATGTTTGGTTAGAGCTTAGAGAGTTGTCTTGGTTTTGTTGCTTTTGCGCCATCTGTTAAACGTNTTAAATTTTTTTTTTTTTTTTTTTTTTTTTCTTTGAACTAAAATAGTCAAATAAGGAAAGGTCTCTATCGCCAGTAAAGCAAAGGATTTTTTGTACAGACTGATTTCAATACTAGAAAATAATATGTAGACATTTTGACTGTTTTCAAACTATCAGCAAAATTATGAGTTGCTTTTAAGCAACAGTTTTCACCCGGAATATTTCACAAAAATTTGTAATCGACAAAGAGTAAGAGCTGCTTTAATTTAAGTATAATTTTCTTTCACGCAGCGCAGCAATATAATATACATGCATAGACGCCAATGCAGAAGTTATGGCACTGTTTAAAACTTCCGATGGTAGCGGAATAACAATTAAAATAATTTCTATTTATTTCATTTTGCCAGCACTTGAAAACTTTACAGTTTGAGTAACAGGTCTTATATTTATTCGATTGATTACGTATATGACGGTGGTCAAAATCATTGTAACTAAATTTTTTAAACCAAAAATAATATAGAGAATTGTAAGACTTACGAGAATCCTAAATATTAAAAACTAGTCTTTCATTTAAATGGGAGAAACTGGCAAGTATATATTTTGCTTCCAAAGTTTATACAATTTAAAACATAATTATAATTATCACTGAAAATTTTTAAATTTGCTAAAAAGTTTCTTATTATGCGCTATATTTTAGTCTAAAGTACAAAAATTAATAATAAAAAAATGCTCATGTTAAAAAAAAGACGGGGAGGAAAAAAAAGAAACAAAATATATAGTTGTGCCATCTACCTGTAGTGTTGTTAACTAAAAAGTGTTACTTATTATGATTTATTTATTTAATTATTTCTTTCACCAAAAAGGATAGGGCATGAATTGAAAAATTTACTTTGGAATGAAACTTAATAATAAAACGCAATAGTCAGGTAATTTTAAGAAAATAATTTAAGCATACTTTACAGATACATTAAATCTCAAAATCATTAACGATAAAAAGGACTGGTCATGCCTGCGTAGCAGCGTTGCTCTTGGAGTTCTATACAGGCTAAAGAGACTTTTTACTACTTTTTTTTTTAAACAATTACAAATAAAATATAAATTTAAATAATTTCACTTATTTTACTGCATTTCTTAACTTACTTGATATTTTTTTGTTATTGAAATTGCATAATAAAATATATAACTCAATCTTCAATAAGTTAATAATACTTAAAATAATATATTTAACCAGAGCTTTAAATAGTTACAAAAAGAAGAAAAGGATTTTTATTAATTTAATAGAATTAATAAGTATAAAGTAAAATTTGGAAACAAAAAGTTACTAATTACCTTTCAAAATTAACAGCACATAAATATTAACAACAACAACCTTTTTTTAAAGTTGGTTTGCTGAAAAACTTATTTCATGAACATTCAAAATGATTTTTCCATCTTTTGAAAATTTAGATGCGATCAACTATAAATCCCATCTTATCAAAATTTTCGGTGAACTGTTGATTTCATTTACTAATTCTTCACCAAAATTTATTTCTTGATTTTGTTCTATTCAAGATATTTTGTCCTATTAACTGTAAACGCTTTATTAGATTTTTTTTTTGTTGTTGATTTTTTCGACTGTTTATAAAAATAGAAGTCACAACACAAGCTTGTTCGAAACCAATGCATTTTAAAGAAATCATTTCAAAATATAATTTTTAAATTTTTATAACCACTGTTTATAAAAATTGCAAATTAAACTAATGTCATTTTAGTGAAAGATTAAATTATTACTGTAATTTCAATATCAGGTAATATGTAATAAGTGAAAAAATATAATAAATAAAAGGAATTAATTTATTTTTAAACTAACATTATTTTAAAGCAGAATCTTAATTAAAAAGAGTTAAGAAAATTGCTATAAATTATTGCCAAATATTATTTTTCATTTAAATATTGTTAATAAATTAGAATTAAACGTAAAATAATACGTAAAATAATGCTGTTTATGAATAAAAATAATAAATAGTTCGAAAATTTTTAGAATACCTAACAATTAGCTGCTGCATTCGAACCCGGGACGACTTATCATTATTCTGGTTCTTTACCACTGAGCCACGGCACGACACGTACGCTTAAATTTAACACCTAAATAAAGCGCTCTTGAATTTTCAAGTATGCTGTTTTCGTAACTTGTCCGGCTTGCATACGTAGTTAATTTTAAGAGTTAATATTCTTAAAATTTTCTACTGTTATATAAAGCTTCATTTCAAAGTAAAATTTACCACTCCATGCTTTCCTTTCGTTATTAACTATTGAAAATTCGATACGCATAAATACCCAGGATTTTCCATAATTAAATTCGTTGTTTTTTGTTTATGAGAAAGAGCAGCCTCTTTGGGTGCAATTAAAAATTATAAACTTGTTCTGTAGTAATAACTGGCAGTTTTAATTTAATTTTTTTACTAAAATAAACTAATTTTTCTACTAAATTTCTACTAAATTCAATGAAATAAACTAACCATCACATAAAAGCAAAATTCTGTGATGAAAATACATAAAACAATAAATTAATAGGCATAATAGTTAATAACTTTTGTGCTAGAAAATTAGCTTAATTTGCCTGAGTTTTATAGAAAAACTTTGTTTTATAAAGAAATAAAAAATGCGAGGCAATTTAGCATAAATATATATCTAATTCAATAATATTTATTTTTAATACAAAAGTGTTTTAAATTTTTGCTCTGATTTCATGTATCCCATCATATATATTTTAAATATCGGTCACCAGTAAAATCACCGATTCCGTTAGCATGGATACAAATAAGATATCGTTATTTGATATCGGCCCAATTATATTAACTCCGTTGAAATATTGTTATCTGAAATACGTTATCGGCACTTTATAAGAAATCTTGCATTGAACCGACTCTGATACAACCAATACCATGCCAATAAAATGCCGATATAAGACGGTCCGATGGCCGACAGTTGCCGATATCACCGACAACGGGCCGCAAAGTTACCGACCTAATGTG